ATATTTGTGATGTATGGGGATATATCACTATTGTCTATGGGAATTTACATGTAGTGGTGCACCCTCCTTAGAGGGTGATAAATTTAACAGCGCCCTCTGTTGGCGGAAGTTTTGTTAATAAACAACTTCTCTATGGCAACAAGTGACACACTATCGCAGATTTGCTGCTGCCGTTCAGGACCGATTCGATCATCCGCAGGTTGACGTTCGACGGCAAGAAGAAATGGCGATGTCTATGTTCTTTGATTGAATAGATATCTTTCACGACAATGTCTCACGGGTAGGTATTTCGTTTAGTGATCAGTGAAAACTTATTAGGCCCCTCCTGGACTGTTTACTGCCGTAGGCCCCTGATGCCATGGCCTGGCCCCGGGTGATGTGTACACGACCCGCACGGGCAGACGGGTGAACTTGTCGCTCCTGCATCTCCGAGAGGCGGAGCTAGCTGGAGCCCCGTAGTTTAGGGGTGCGTTTTACATTGGCCCCACAGAAGGCTATGTGTATTATGGACTAATTTACGTTATGTCAATGGTAGCTCCATACATATAGGAAAATGTTCCAGGCCTTAGCTAAATCTCCCCATGTTATGAGCCCAGCATTTCTAGCCAGCTCATGATATAATGTACATGTATGTACGTGACTGGATACCCCAGAACTGTTGGATCTGACGTCCGCTACGCTTCCATGTAGCGGAGCGGACGTTGGACCCCACAGTTCTGAGGGTGCATGACCGGATAGTCGCCAGATCCCTTATTTTGCCACTTACTGTGAAAACCAATTCTTGCAGTTGGAGGTTGTTCCATTTATTGCACTCACATCACATCTGAGCAAAGTGGCAACTCTCCCTTCACTTTGTACAGGGACTTGCATTTTTTCCTCATTTTTGCTGCAACATGATAAAAATAACTGAAACCTGTTTGGTACAGTGTGGGCGATATTCATAGCACATACATAGTGAAAGTTCAGGCACATTTGATGTAGGCCAAAAGGTTAAGAGCAGATTTTTCCCAAAGACCACAATATTATTTTTGCCCCTTTGCGTTTTGAGAGTGAAATATGGAACAATTGACTAATTGCAGAGAAGAATCAAAGCTTAATGACATGATCCTGACCGTGAGAATCAGACTTGACAATAGGTGGCAAAATTAGGGACCTGACGACTATACGGTCATGCACATTTAGGCCTAGGCTTACGTGTAGTGAGAAGTAAAAGGTAAATTGAGAGATAGAAAAATTGTTTTTCTGACATAGGCTTAGACTGTTAGGCCTGCACTTATTTTAATTTGAAAAGACCATTATTTCTTTAGGCTTTCACAACACAAATACCACTCGGTGGATTTTGTATTAAGGACAAAAGGATTTGTATGAATGGAAAAGGATCAGATAGCAAACCTCTTTCATTTCCATAATGCTTTACAGCTATTGTACAACTTCACTCAAGCAGTATTTACAATGAGACAAAATCCTTTCTTCAAACCAAACTGAACTCTCACTGCCTTTTCCTTACCTAGAAATTTCATAAAGGCGTTAGCAGATCTGTTTGCATACATCTGCATGTTTTCACAGATGGAAGCAACTTGTAAGAGGCCAAAAGTACAAGGTCGTGTGCCCGGTGTTCTAACTAGTGGACAGATCTTGGGACCTATACACTCCTGCAAGTCAGGCTGTGTAGGCTGCAACCCAATCACTTGGCTGTTTCTAGATGTAACATGTACATCAATACACTTGTCACATAGGCCTGCCACATCAACCTGTTACAGCTCTTGACCAAGGATGATGTCTCATTACATATACTGTATAGTTTGTGGCTAGTCAAGCAGGCCATAAATTGTAACCAGTCATAAATTGTAAAATGATTGACTGGTTTTCCATATTTTGTGGGTTTTTTTTGCCTTGCCCTGTTAATGTTTTTAGTAGTATAACTAATGTGTATCAAATTTCGGCTCCCTTTATTTACTTTGGATGTGAAGAAGTGGAATCCATAAAATACAAAATGCAAGTTCCTTTTGAAATTTCAGTCTGGGTGATGTAAACCTAAAATTCAATTTTAACTGGCCTAATGAATGTATTTACCTTTTGACCTCCATTGTTTTTGCAGTTATTACCAGCATCAGTGGGGCCATGCTCAGGACAGCCTGACTGAGCTTCTCACCCAGGAACTTCCCCCTGAGCCCTCCAAGCCAGAGAAGGACCGCCTGACGGCCTTCCAGAACATTGCCACTCTCTATATCAAGTACCTGCAGATCTTCCAGCGGTTGGAGCAGTGCTATGACCAGATCGTACACCCACAGAAGCGCCGGGTGCTGCGGCATGTCCTGGATGGGGTCATGGGTCGCCTGCTGGAGCTCAAGAATGAGATGGTCCTGCTGGAGTTCTCCGAGTTCCATTACTTCGACGACATACTGTCTGATCTGAAGCTGACCCCTGTGAGTTGCGTGGCACCTCAATGGTGGTAGTTCTCCCCTGTGAGAACCTAGGTGCAGAAAAAACGTGGAATCAAAATCAGGCCAACTTTTACTCCTATTTGGGTCACAATCCATGCAAGAGCGAAAACACAGCAATTTCTGTGATGTCAACAATAGGGGCGATTCACAATACAGTGCCCCATCCAAGAGGTTGCCACTGCCATTTTTTAAGTTTATGGTCAACAAAAGAATAGCCAACTTGTTGCAATTGGCATTTGAGTGTATGCCATTGGACAACTCATGGATATTTTTAATAGATTGTGACATTCCAGATGAGAGAATTAAAATTGCAACTCGAAATACATTTGTGAATCTTCCTCCTTGACAAACAAACACTGGGAATAACTCATGTTCCTTGTGGGCAGCTGGAGAATAGAATTTGTCAATGATTTCCCACAGTGCACTGCAAAAAATGGCCTTTCCGTGGTAGCCTCCTTGTGGCATGCTTGTGGCGCACTGTATCATGAATTGCCCATACTGAATTTTAATTGTGGTGTTTTCCGTTACTCCAGCACATGTATATTCACTTTGCAATTACCAACTTTAATTCTGCACGTATAATTAACCTCCAAACTTTCCATATGGCAAAAGCAATGTCTGTATACTTTACTGGTGATTACTCACCCTCTCAATTTCAATTTCTTCAACATTCTGTACCTGGCTCAGTCCGGTTTGTGCACGAACCATCGATCGTGTACAATCAATAATCTGTCACATTTATCGAGGGTGTCCGAGTAATGTTGTTTGTCTCTTAAATCTTGCTTAATCGTGGCTGGAGATACTCCTAGATGTAAGAAGCAATTATAATGACTATACTGTACAATTACGTGCATTATTGCTACTGATTTTGTATATGCAGGGTAGGAATTTCATTCTTGAAGGGCAAGGCAATTTCTCATTTGCAAAGGGTACTTGTATTAGAAAACCAACGTGTCTGTGGGAACATTTCCATGGGCATTGAGGCAAAGACTAGGGGCACTAAGGCAACTGCCTCCATTGCCTCCGTAAAGTTCCTACCCTGTATATGGTTTAATCATCAACAATCTGCTGGTCAGTAAGACCAAATACTTGGATATTTGATCGAATTGAAAGTCGAATGTTCGAATTGTGAATCATTTGAATTGACTCAATCCTACTTGTGTAACTTCAGGCAAGTTGCACAAAAAATAGAGACAAGATTGCATCATTAAAGATCTTAGTTTTGAAGAAGCCTGCATAACTTCACTCTTTCTCCAGAATGATATTGAAGTACCAATACCTAAATACTTCCTCAACGAGCGGTCCAAGGTACTCCAGGAGCGTGAAAAACTGCTGGGCCAAATCCTGGCCAAAATGGGCCCTCCTGATGAGAAAAAAGAGGAGGTTACCATGACAACAGATGAAGCTGCGAGACTCATCCAGGTGAGCTTTATGAGCAGGAATCTGTTCTAATACTACAAGCAACCAGATTTTAGCTCTTAAGAATGATACGTTTGCTTTAATTTAATGGCTTTTTTGCAAAAGGATAATGTGAAGTTTGCATTTTACTGACCATAAGTAACACTGGTTGAGAGATAACTTGTGGTGTAGTGTTTGCAAAATAACAGAAACACATGGAAAAATGTAGTTATCTCCAAGAAAGTGTTGGCCATTTAGTTTTAGATTACAGATTAAGACAAACATTGGCAGTAGAGATTGATGTGGAGAAGGACACTTACACTATTAGGAGGGAACTACTCGTATTATGTGAGTGTGTTCCACTTTAGGGAATTTAGCTGAAAGGGTTATTAAACAATAAAGTGCTGCTGTGTCTGGACTTTGCAGGATTAGTCTCTTAGTGTTATAACCCTGTGACAGTAAATAGGCATAGATTTGAAAAGTGGGACCAAGTGGGAATTCCGACCTGTTCTGTGAAAATGAGTCATAAATTGCCAGAGCCACTTTTGAGTTACAGGCCTTTTAAAGAGCCTTTTACCATGGAAATCAGTAGGAATCTGAGCATTTTTACCCACAACAATGTCCATTTTCATCAGCATATCAAAATAAGTGATACATCAAAAGAGAGTTTTGCTTGCTCATTCTATTGCAAACTGAAACAATATTCTTGACCAAAATGGCCTTGTGACTCATTTTCACAGAACGAGTCACAGTTTGCTTGAAAACACCTTACAAGTCCCCTCAACCTTTCAGGATTTAGGGCCTATCAGTTTGCTGCTGATGAGTGATTTCCCTTCCCTTTCCCCCAGTCGTGCCTCCCCCCTGAAAGAATCCTTGTGACGTCCATGACTAAAAATGTTTCATTTCAGAGGAGACAGGGCGGATGGACCACATCCCTAACCCTATTTTGCTTTACCATCTGCAGGTGCATGAGAGAGCTCGACAGGGTCGCCTGAGGGCCAAGTTTATGCGCGAAATCCGGCTGCAGGAGGAGAGGGAACGAATGGCAGCCAATCGGGGGGCGCCAACCGTGGATGCCGACGTGGCTGCTGTGAGAATACAGAAGGTATAAGCCACCATTTTGTGGCGTACAAAACGTCGTTCTCAAGTCTGTGAGAAATTCATTTCAAAGTAACAATAAGCCATGTCCTAAACAGGATTCTGAAGCTACAGCTATGTCTCTTACCCTAATAATAAATACCTAGACATAGCTCCAGACAGAATATTTGGATGCTGAAGTATTAATCAATGCTATCTATATAACAAATTTTGGCCTCTTTTTGGGGTAATTTTTTCACACTAAAAAAAAAAATTCTGTTCCACAATACAGGTATGGAAAGGCTTTGCCATTCGCAAGCGAGTTCGCCGGGAGCGAGAAGAAGAAATGATGTTTATTGGAATGGTAAGATTTTGACAACTCCCACAGAATTTTTTTCGTGTGAGATAATTATTGTTTTGTTCTGATTGCTGTAAGTAAATGTAAGTTGAAATCTTGCTTGGTAAATCTGGGTGCTTTGTGCAAGCAACAACAGTGCAGGTAACAGCTTTTTTAAGTCAGCAAAACTTGGTGCTTGTATCAACACCATAAATGGCCAGGAGTGGTGAACTCATGTGATTGGTTTATTTTTATGTGCTTTTTTCACCTTTGTTTGGCCTCGCAAGCAATCAGTGCCTTTAATTCAGTGAAGTTATAATAATTCCTTTTTCTTCCGTTTTTCATTCTCTGACAAATGAAACTGACATTTATTTTACAGAACCCTCCACCGCCCCCAAGTAACCCCAAGTTAGCTCCGACCTCCCTGGCCGAACGCACCGAGTCCAACCGCCGGGTGACCCAGACCGAGCACGAGCGAGAATTCCAGCAGGCGCTGGTCACCATCAAGGATAAGCTGAGGGAAGTCGAGGGACCAGACATGAAGGAGAACATGCAGGACCAGATCCGACAGTGGTTCCTGGAATGCAGGTAAACTTGGACCAGATTCAGTGTTGCGTAGGTCTGAGGCACCCATGTACCGTAGGCCCTACTCCTTGGCGCAGGCACCAATTTCATGGTGCTTGTTTGCCAAGCCTTAGAAATACTTTCTCGGGCATATTGTCAGTGACAGGTTTTTAGTGAGGCACACAAGCATTGTTTGACTAAGAGTTCGTAGGTTAGTTTGTTTAATTTCCTTTTTTGGATTATTCCCTCCATTAGAGATGCCACGGGTAAATTCCCTGATTATCCTACTGAGGATGAAGGAGGCTCGGCCGCCATCTTCAAGGAGAAGGATCCCGCTGAAGTCAGTAAAACTGCATTTTTTGACATTGTGAATAAAAGATAACATTTAAATCTTTAATGACAACTGGACTATTTTAGTCATTGTTGATGAAACAAGCCAAAGGCTCCTTGCATTTATGAAGAAATGTCTGCTGTCTAATATCCACGTACAGTGCATTTATCCTTCATGGGGTTTATTTACTTATGTCTTGCACAAGAGTTTGCGTGGAAATCTGAGGTACAGTTGGCCAGTTTGAAAAAGGCAAAGTCACTCCAGAGGAAAGCATCTGATGTGCTAACTCAAAAATATTCGGTGTAGGCGGCTGCTCTGATGTTGTGGCTTCGGCTTACACTTTTCTTTTATGAGTATAAATACTGAAGTGGTTTGTGCTCAAGAAATGTCCAAGTTCTTAGTGTGGGATGATAAAAAAAATGTGAATCCTTTCCATGAACTACACGCATGCACAGTAAAAAGCTTGTAAAGAAAAGTTATTGAATTGCAAACCATTTGTCCAGTCAATTTGGCAAAAAATGAAAGCATGGACTTCTACATCTGTACAAGTGGACAGCTTTGTTTTCTTTGGAGCCGACTTTCATGTCAAGAATACAATTGTAACTTTGTGTTTGGTCTTCTTTAGGTTGAAGCAGAATTGAGGGAGAAGGAGGATGACAAAGGAAAAGGGAAAAAAGGAAAAAAAGAGAAGAAAGAGAAAAAGAAAGACAAGAAGAAAGACAAGAAGGGCAAAAAAGGAAAGAAAGGCAAAGGAGGCGATGATGAGGTCAGTCACTGTTGCAAAGTTAACAGTCCACTTTTATTCTGTAGCGGACATCTTGCACTTGTACCCTGTGCATGGGAGGAAGTTTTACACTCAGTTGAATGCACATACTTGTCATCAAGTTATGCGGACCACATACTTTGGAATACTATGGGACTAGAGATTTTATTGGAGTAACTTCTTGTACCAATAATGCTGTCCCAACTTTCCTGACGAAAGATATTGTCCCTTTACAAGGGGCATGCTTAACCTACCCACTCATTGTAGCATTGCATTCCTACAGTGCAAATTCCTTTGTAAATTTTGCAAATTCCAAATATTCACCTTTATTGGATTGTGAAAACCATGGAAAGCTGGATTTTTGTGGACGATTTCCATAACTGTGCCTTCCCCTTTTCCAGTTGATGACCCTATCGGTTAAGAATGCCTCTTAACCACTTGCTGCCGGGGGCAGTTATCAATGTTGATGATACCGGTCTGGGATAATTATCATTTTTATCTGTTTTCAAAATTCTCGAAAAGTTCCTATCTTCATTTACTGGACACTTACAAACACGTGAAGGACTGTCTGGTCTCCACTCTAGCCTGACAGACAAAATCTATTGACGCCTGAGTATTTCAGCCAGGCCTGCAGCCTTGTAAAAAGAGCCCAGATTGTGCGGTGTTATATAAGTTTCTTTTGTTCATAAACCTGGCTCAGACCTCTTTTTAATAGGTAATATTTTAATATAACCAGATTAGCCTGCAGCGGTGCTGTGCGGCTCATCGCTGCTGTGGTGGAGCGCTTTTGTCCCTGGTGGTAATCCGCTTGCTCTAAATGCCCCAAACCGTGGTATACTGTTTCAAAACAAGGCTGGATTATCTCCATTTTTGAGAGTGAAAAAATGTCAGTAATGCCCAGCAGCCTGGTCTTTTGTTCCGAGTACGGTCTTTTGTTACAAGGCCCTGTTCCTTTTGTCCAAGATTGGAGACCCTGGCCACGCATATAAAGCATAGGTGTCCGGATCCGGAATCCCCGGCAGGAAGTGGTTAACCTATTTTTCAGAGGGGAGACATGCTGTGTGGACCTTGGCAAGTCCACACAACATGAGCTTTGAAGATTTTTGTGGTGAAGATAGCAAGTTAGTTGTTAGAGCTTTGCGGTAGCACCGTACAAGGATGCCTCTTTTGTGAGTATGTTTGGTTCTCCAGTTCTTTTCAGAAGCACACATAAAAGAGGTATCCTTGTATGGTGCCACGGCAAACCTCTATCATTATCCTTACAAAATCTTCATTGCCTTTGCTGTGTGGACATCATTTGTTCTTCTGAGGTCCATCATTGCTGCTGGTTGCATGTAGCATCCAAAGTGCTAGAGGTTTGTGCACATTCAGATGAAAATGACTAGTGGGCATTCTGTGTAACGCATACATGTACATTGGTCAATCTGAGCATGTACTTTGTCTTGTAATTGAAGTACACAAGGTTCATTACAACATTCATGATATTTCTAGAATTAATTCTTTTCTTTCCTCAATATGTTTTTTAAACTGATTCTAGTGTCTTCAAACAAAGTCTAGTCTGTGGTATGAACAACTGCTCGATATAGTGAGGCGTTTTTTGTAACCAGAGTTGCAAAAATATGAGTCTGCCCATGTTTTAGTACTTTGGGACATAAAATTTGCTTCACTCTGCATTCAAATGTGTCTTAATGAGTGAGGAAAGGTAGGTTCTAGTTTACTTTGAAAGAAATGGAAACTACCCAAATATTTTTATTATTTTTCTGTTCAGGAAGAAGAGGAAGGATTTAAGCTTCAGCCATCCAACTTCCTTGGGACTGTGTCTGACTCCACCCAAGCATATGAAAGTATGTTCAATGTATTGATGCTAGCAAAATGTTTGACTAGATGCGGTCAGTGGCGCATTCATTGGGGCAGGGAGGGGGACAGGGGGTCCGATTTTCCCCTTGGAGACATTTTACCAGTTCTAAACAATACCGTCTTTTTGGGACAGACGAGGTTTCATTATATGTTTGAAGAAAAAATCTGTTTCCACCTTCCTTCCCCCTAAACTCAAAATTTTACCACTGAAGGAGATTTTTCCTTAGCATGTTTCCTTGTGTGCCACTTTTCCGATTTGATTGGAACCATTCCAGTTTTCGTAAGTTATCAAACGCGTAAATATCAGAAATGATGATTTTTCAGAAAAAACAAAAAAATTGAAACTGCACTGCACACTGTCCAGGAAGTTTGCTCATCCCTGATAAACATAGATTCTCAGAATATGGTGATCTTGACAAACGCTTAACAGTAGTGAACAACAGTACATGTACTCCTTGGGGATGAGTGTGGAATCATCAATGCATCGATGCACAATGACTCCATTCAGTATGAACACCCTACGGCTGCTTCATTGAAATACGTTCATTGTGCGGATATACATAGGGCTTCGTTGTGCTCATCCAGTTGCTTGTCAGTCACTGAAAACAAACAGTCCTTGGTATCTACATGTTTTCAGTGTCTGGATCCTAGACCAAATGACCCTGACTGTGTTTATTACTGGTTCAATCCCTGTAGTAATTGACTTGCAAAAATGAGTGAGACAGGTTGCCCGCATTGTGGGCACTTTTAATATGTTCCAATTTCTGAGTTTCTAAAATTGGTAGATATGCATTTCTTTCATCAAGAATCCTCTTTGGTTATAGGGAAAAAAAGTGGACATGAGAGTCCAAAGCACCAGTGAGGTCCATCCTAGGAGCTACAGTTTTTCCCCTAAAATTTCATTTCGGAATTATTTAATATATCACTGTCACAGAACTGTGCTGGAAATACAGTGTTCGTTTTGGCGGTCATGACAGAGAATTGGTTTGCTTGTTTTTTGCTGATGAATTTCTTTGGCAGTTTGAACTGGTAAAGAATTACATGTGATGATGAGGTACTCAAAGTCCTCCCTCCCCAAAATCTACCAAAGAGAAACAACCAAACCAGTCCTTTATTATGACTGCTGGAACCGCTTCCCAATTGGGCACCAAAAATAAAATAGGCTCCACGGGGCTCTTCATAATGAGCATACAAAGTAGTAGTGTTTATTTGTTTTCTTTTTGCAGCTGTGTGGAAGGATCGCAATGAAGAGCATAACTTCAGCCAGAAGCACGACTCGGAGCTGATCAAGGAAGAGAAGCGGATTGAGGTTGAGACGGAGATAAGAACCCAGGTAGATGAGCTGATGAGACAGGAGCTCAAGAACCTCAAATTGGTAAGCTGTCACAGGCATGGTTGAAACTGTCGAGATTGTGTCCACGTGCAAGAAAGTTTACCTCAATCACTTTTGTACACCTTTGAGAAAAATGGAAAGTGCAGTGTTGTTGATAGCAGCCTAGAGCTAGATCAACTTCTTTTTTAAGTGAAAGGTGAGAAAATCCATTGATCGGGGATTTTTGAGGATGATTTTTTGACCTTATGGTATGAAAGGGAAATGTAATAGACAAGTTGATAAGAAAATATTGACTGGAATGGAAAATACCCATTTTATTTGATATCAGTTTCATGGGTGTAGAGGAACTGACAGATTGGATAAAGGGAGGAAGATTCTTGCAAAAGTCAAAAGATAAATATAGATTTATTTTTCTCTTTGTTGGTTGTATACAGGCAGTTGACCGTGACAAGGGCAAAGGAAAAAAGGGCAAGAAGGGAAAAAAGAGTGGAAAGAAAAGCGGCAAGAAGAAGAAAAAGAAGAAGAGTGGGAAAAAGAGTGGAAAAAAGGGCAAAAAAGGCAAGAAAGAGAAGGATCTCACACCAGACAGGTAAAGGAATAAGAACTATTCGTCATAGAAATTGATCTCATTCACCCACCGTGAGTGTACCTGGCAATTTGCAGTTTTGGCCCCCAAATGATAGTGCTCAATAATGGATTGTGCATAGTGCGCCCTCTAACAACTCTGTAATTAAACCAGCACACCTGCTCACACTAACGTCTTGGGAATCTTGTAGGAGTGGTTTACCTTTTTTTTAGCTTCTGCCTAGGCTTTCTCAAGGAACCAATCAACGATTGTGAAATGGTTTATTGTCAGTCATGTGACAGTTATTCAGTTATTTGCAAAAGTTTAAGACCACCTTGAATTTGGTTGGTGTTTCTCTCACTGGGCCTGCATTACATTCTCTCATTGAATGATTGCTTAACATGTTTTTACAGTGGTGCCTATATAAAGATTTTTGCAAAGTCAGGTCTTATATGATATTTTGTCTAAAGGCAGCATGGGTAAAAAAAGCCAGTCTATTCAGAAATAAAGGAGGGAGCACTAAATATTAGACTGTTAACATTTCAAATCATGGAAATGTAGTCAAATAGCTGGTTACCAAAATACTTAGGTTACATATTGAAAATAAACATAAGTTGCCATGATTGATTGGTTTAAGTTTGGTATTTCTTCAGGTTAATGCATTTTGTACGGGTGGTCCTAAACTTTTGCAAATGACTGTAAACATCTGTGTTATGTGCAGAAATCAACTATGAAGTGCGGTGATCAAGAACGCTCATTAGATATGCAGTGCTAGGGTATCAAATGAGAGGCTATCATTTGTTGGCAGATACACGTATTACAAAGTAAACCAACTGTCTGATTTGCATAAAGTCTCCACACTCTCATTGACGCAAGATTCCCAAGATGTTAGTGCTAGTATATTGGTGCAAGAAAGGACAAAAAATTGGTTATGCGAACAATTGCAACCATTTTTTAATTGCTTTCAATCACCGACATCTTGGGCCAAGATTAGGTAATCCAGCACCACACTCATGCGCGCTTTCTTAAAATTGTGGCATGTATGCATTTGGCAAGCCACAGCATTCTATTGGTCAAAGATGCATGTAATGTGCGCACACTGTCCGTGAACGTGATCCTACCGTAGCCACAGCTTCTCTGATCTGGTTACCAGCTTCATCTATCAACTGATCTAACTCCATGTGGTGCACAAGCGGTAAACAGGCATTGAATACCACTTTGACCAACAGAGTCTTGCAACTTGCCAAATGCACGGGGGCATTATCTTCCAAACGCAAGTTCTTCAAACTGGGAAAGCCTGCTGTTCTCAAAGGGAACGGTCCAAGGGAAGTCTTCTTGCGTTGGTGATTGCCTTGTGTTTAAGTTCTACATTCATTGCTTGCCTTATTGCATGTAAAAAATTCTAGAGTCCAGGTTTGAAGTGGGAATGCTTTTGGGAAGAACAAGTTTTTGTCTCGAGAAGAGGATGTGGGGATAGGGACCAGTTATCTTCCAAATAGGTTACGTATACATGTACCTGTGCTTTACCAACACCAATACTAATCTAATTGTGCAAATACCAATGTAGCAGTTTTCAGTCTCTTTATTCAAGGTGAAATCAAAAGCTATGAATTCCAACTGTGTAGAGTGCATGAATAATTGTAGAGTGCAGATACCATAGTCAACAGGTTGCAGGTTTGAGTCCAGCCCCTACAGAGCAAACTCTCTGTTGAAGTGCTATGGTACTGATTAGAAATGTGCGTCGCCCTTTTTTTCATAAGAAAAGATCTTACTGTCTGTTGTGCGATTCTCCACAGGACCATTGAGTCTCTCTATGAAGAGTTAGTGCAGGAGGGCATCATTGTACGGCCGCCCAAGTTTGGTCTTAGAGACTACTTGGGTGAATACAGCTACCTGGGCACGACGCTACGACAGAACAACATTGAGCCCATGCCTTCACTATCTGATGTGCGACAATTGGTGGCGCTTTATGGGGTTCTACCACTCGGTTCGTATCTTTGACACAGATTTGCATTCATTGTCAGAAAGTATTGTGAGTGGAATTTAATTGCTGAGTAAACTTGGTGAAAGTGACTCTGTTAAGATGTTGATTATTAATTCAAAATTCCATTTCCTGAAAAACCCTCTTTCCTCAGGTTCACAGTCTGTCCACGAGAAAGCACCCCTGGTCAAATCCATGCTACTGGCTGGTCCTCGCGGCACTGGTAAACGCAGCCTGGTCAATGCCATCTGTACTGAGACCGGTGCCAACCTGTTTGACCTGACGGCGACTAACATCGCGGGCAAGTACCCCGGCAAGAGTGGCCTGCAGATGCTGATCCACTTAGTCTTGAAGGTTGGCAGGAACTTGCAGCCCTCAGTGGTGTATATTGGTGACGCCGAGAGAACTTGGCTCAAGAAGGTTCCCAAGACAGATAAGGTAAGAAAAGGTGGTTTATCAAACTAAGGCCTTGCATTCTAGTCACCCTCAATTGAAACCCTTCAGCTCAGTGCATAGCCTCATTTTCTGCTACAAAAACACCAAGTTTTCAATTGTGAGGCCTGTGTTTTGATTTTTTTGCTTGGGATTTTACTGGTTACGGTGGTCTTGTCTTGTGCATTTGTACTTCTGGCTGAAAATACTGACTTTTTAAACCAGAAAGATTCCACAATTACAGACCTTGACAAAGTTGGACTTGGACCCCTAGCCGTCAGTTGTTCAAGATTTGTGTCACATTTCTGACTGCATCATAACTTCTTTGAAGCTCCAAGACAGTGCCGCTGAGTGATTTAGCACCTGGCAGTGGCCCACAGTTTCTTGAAGGCTTCACAGTACACAACCTCCTCAAACTAGATTGAGGCTCTGTGCGTATTCACATACAACAGGAATCAGTCAAGTGTAGGGAGGAGTATAAATGTCTCACTGCACTAAATGCCCCACATGTTCCGTACCTAGGGAATCCCTACCTATGTATACAATTCATCTGAATAGAAGCGGTCAATGGACTTTTTGTTCACGTTTCCTTTAGCATGTCTAGTAGTATGTGATATGTGCAGTTACGGTGGCACAGTGAACGAAAAAGATAATTTAACCATGGTTTTTCTTGCATGACTAATTTGCAGTCTGACCCAAAGCGACTCAAGAAAGAGATCCCCAAGTTCTTGAAGTTGCTGAAGCCGGAAGATCGCATGCTCCTGGTGGGTACCTCCAGGGCACCTTATGAGTGTGAGATGAAGGGATTAACTGGTGCCTTCCAGAAGATAATCCTGATCCCAAGACCGGACTATGCTTCAAGACACTGTTAGTTGAAATTTAAACATTACTTGAACCGTATAGTGGTTTTGATTACAATTTTAAGACTTCATCTATTCCTGGTAGCGATTCATTTTCCACAACTCATTAATCAAAACATCTTCTCTAATACTTTATTTCCTAGTTTATATAAATAACGTAGATAAAGTTCTGTTGGCCTATCAGATACAGATAAAGGTTACTAAGAATTGGCATTCTCAAAAATTGGAATTGTAATTGTCGGCCATTGCAGTTTGTCTTTAAACCTCATTGTATGATAACTTTGCTGTATTTTTTTCATGAGCAAGGTTTCAGTATTGTGGCACTGTACACGTGGTAGCAACAATGTTATTTTTATTTGTAGTGGTAACGAGAAATAGTAATAGTGTCAGAGATTTATAACTTGGCGTTGTGTATGGGCTCAAAGTTTGTCTTCAAAGGTTTCACTTAGTTTAGCAACTTAGGCTATTTTATTCTGCTGTTCAGAAAAGTCATTTCTGAACTGTTTTGTCAGTGTCTCTTCCAAGTTTTTAGCATGAAAGGCTGTGTTAAGGGGGAAAAATGAACTCAGGTAGTCTTATCGACATTATTAGCTTACCAGCTTTAATTTTATAATTTTAGTTGATAATTGCTTTGATATACAGTAGAAGCCACACTGACTGATGGTTAGCTTAATTGGCGTTTACATTTTCCATCATGCTACCGGTGGGGGGTTTGGACATCAGTGGGACAGTTCCTTCAGATTCTAGATAATTAAAATCATTTGTTCAAAGCGTTCTGCCTGGTATATTGTCTCCATAGTGCTGTGGCGTAATCTGATCGTGCAGAACAACGGTATCCTGACCAACACGCTAGACATCAGCTCCCTGGCCAAAGTGACGGACGGCTACACCCAGAAGCACATCCTGACCTCCTGCCAGCAGGTGCTGACCGACCGGCGTGTGGCCCAGCTCAACAAGCGGGCGCTGGCGGCGGCTGAGTTCATCCCACCACTGGCCCGCATCGACCCCATCTACAAGGAGGAGGAAGAGGCCTTCAAGGTGAGTCCCCAAAGAATGTGGGCCGAAGAAGAGCTTCCGTGACAATTTTATGAAGGAGTCTTAACCATTTCCATAGTGATGAAGGACAGGCGTGGCTGCTCTAAACCTTAAAAAAGCCTGGGACAGAGTCTGTCAGTCTTGTACATGTATTGAGTATAATACTGATTTCCTAGTGCATGCTTTTCAACCATTTCTGTCAGAGCTAGATGTACTGTCCTTGCAAGAGCTGAACTCTGGAAAAGGCAAGACTTCTGAGATATTTCAGGGGTTATCACTGTACATGTACTAACACCACTGTAAACAAGCAGTCTTGTGTAATATGGAGACCTTTTTTTACTATATCTGATACCAATGTCTATTCTTGGGATATTATCCTCAATTTGTTGGAGTTAGTCCTGTATCCTTTCATATCTCAAGTTCTTTGGAATCTATAATTCTCTATGTCTTTATCACTGAGTTCCTGTCTTGACATTAACAACCTTCCTTGTTTTTTGGCCCAACAGACGTGGTACAGTAAGACCCCACTGGGCAAGAAGAGGGCCAAGGCGGCCGAGGGGGGCGATGATGACGACGGCAAAGGGAAGAAAGGAAAGGGAAAGAAAGGCAAGAAGGGCAAGAAAGGAAAGAAGAAGAAGTGAGGCTCTCCACACCCCCATTTCCTCAAAGAGAAGAGATTTGGTTTCAAGACAAAATGCTTTGGGTTTTGGCAGATCCAGAGGGTAACTGGGGCTTTGTTTTTTTTTGCATTTCAGAGACATCAATTTGTACAAAATGTTAAATTTTATGACCATCTTCTTCACTTGGTAGTGCCTTTTTGTACAGTTCCTCAGAAGTTCAGATTTAGTAGAGACCCGACTACTTCAGCTACAGTGATGAATTCATGAATTTGTGTATAACACACTCTTGGAACTGAAGTACAGAGAATTAGCATCAACAGGATTCTTGAACAGCATTGATGTGTGCTAGGCCCAAATCTTCTTGTGAAGGTGTGCTGGACTGTGCATTTTATGGTTGCATGCTTAATGTGCATACATGCTGCGTTATTACCTGGCTGTCATGCATTGTTTATGCGCCAGTAAATTCCTTTCAAATTAAGAAAACAGATGTAAAATATAAAGTCTGCCACAAACTGCTTGCTGACTAGTGACCTGAAGTCTAGTGTACACAAATCAAGAAAGTCAGGGGGTTAGATGTTTTCATCAGAGCAGAATCTTTCTCTAGTTGTTTGCATGTCTTCAGTGTGCGCTCAACACGGGCCTTGCCGCTTGAACTGGATTCCATTTGAAAGGCCAGCTAGTGATTCCGTCCACTTTCTTGTTACAGCTGGCTAGCCATAAGTGTGTATAAAATTAAGAGCTCTTTCATTAGTCAGTCTTTGGAACCATGTTTTACCTACTGGATCTGTCCCAGCCACACCACCGGTGTGCACTTGCATATATGTGGAATGTACATTTTGTTGGTGATAATTTTATCAATTTCCAGGATTTGGAATGTAATGGGGAAACAAAGTTATTTTGTAAATAAACCCCAGTAATAACAAATACAGTGCCCAGAATAATCCGTCCGTATTTTTTTAAAGAAAAAGTCTTTAGCGTTCTTCCAATTTTTGAGTATTTCACTACGTGCCGTCCAAATAACAGACAATGCGCAGGAAGAATATTTGAATATTGTGAAGAAATGGCTCACCGAGTTGCCTTGTGTGTTGCAGAGTACTATAACCTTTTGGGATTTGTGGAGTGTTTGATGTAGTTGAATGTGTATAAAACAGGAAATTCCTCCAAAATGGAGCTGGCTTTGATAAATTGTTTTGTTTTGGTAAATAACTCAAAGCACATGAAGGTACAATCTGATAAAGTCAACCTCTTCTGCCTTTTGTATTCTTCAAAATTACAAGAGAAACTGATTATCAATTATTAAACACAATCACCTTGTATGAAGAGTTTAAATGAAATGGCTAGCCAAACTATATATGATAATATTCCACTCTGACAGAGATTTACAGCAAATAATTGACAGCTGAATAACTGCATGTTCTGGATTGACATTTTATCAATACTGAATATTAACCTAAACCATATATGCAATATTATAACTTGCCTGTAAACCTTGGGCCAGGTGCTACAGCAAATATCATTGCAAATAAAGGAAAGATTCCAGTTGAAAACAATTGCCTCCTTGTCTGCTGTCTGTAGTTCAAACAGTTCATAGTTCATATCATTTATTTTTACGAACACGTAGATGGACAGATAGAACTGTATATGAATTGAGGTCTCCAAGAAGCAAGAGCTTGTCGATTGGAGACCACTGTTATGTCATGTCATGATATGTCATGATTTTTAGCTCTATCACCTATGGTCCCCCTTCTCACATTTAACTACATGTACAGTATTTTTAGTATTAAAACTTTCAACATGGCAAATTAGGCATCAGGTGCAAAGCTCTACAGTTTGTCAATGATCCTAATGCACACATGTAAGTCTGTAAGGACCTTCATTTTTTCATATGTTTTATCATGTCTAGCCTTCAGATACACCATTTTAAGTCCTTAATTATGATATGGAATGTTTTTGGAACTGTCCTCGTTTGTAACTGCTGCAGTTTGAGATATCTGGAAACTATTAAAGCAATTAAACCTTAAACTGTGCCAAATCCTTCAAGATTCAATTTGATTGATTTTTACTAAACCCCGTGGTCTAGAGATAGCTCCTCCCAGAAGAGACGTGTGGGTCTTGGGATGTAATGCTTAACCCTGACCTCATGTAGTGACTATTTCTTGTAAACTGCCCAGTGCTCCAGTCAATTGGTGGTACAATGCTTGTAGTACTTAGTCTACAGTACTTGAGCCAAAAGTATGCAGTGTTCTGTCGTATATACGATCCTTCCGTCCAGATCAAAACCCAGGCTACAGTCTACTGTTTAAACTTTGGATTTGTCCAAATATGATAGTGTATTAAGCAATGGATTATTTTTGTCCCCAATCAGCCCCAAATTCAGAGTTCAAGGTTGCACTTGCCAACAGGATATAAAATAATACAAAGAGCATATACATGTGCATGTGTAATAAAACGAAATTATATTTCAAGTTCTTCCAGTACAAAATAATGATGAATATACATGTATGTTGATGTTTTGTTTAGTAATTAAAATATGTAGGGAGATGAATGGAACTTTGTCATTCTTTATACTGTCCTTAACCAGCTATTCTGTAATACTGTCCTCCATATGAAGATATTCTACCAGAGTCGGTTACTTTGACGCTGCTCTCTCAAGAGCACCATACATGTAATAATTTGTGAAAAAATAAACACTAGTATTTCCATGACCACTTTAAAGATGTCCTTATTTTTTCAAGCGTCACCAGGGCTTTCATACAGGCATTTCTGTCTATAGGAGTCTGTATTTCTGCCACTTTCCTGTTATTCCTTGAGACTGTGCATGTTTTTCAGAGCTTTTATGCACCGTTTCTAACCTATGGTTCAAGTGATTTTTATCCCTTGATAGCGCGGCCGGTTGGAAATGGCATTTCATGTATTAACTTGGATGGACAGCTCCTGTCCGTGCATCTCCTTCCATGTGTGGCAGAGTTGCTTCCTCAGTCGCTCCCGGTCCTCCATGGACGGCAAGACCAACGTCCAGGCTACCTCGGGCGTGGAGGGCCGCGCCAACTCCCCACCCTCCTCACTGCCATAGTGCTCCATCGTGATGTCCACCACCACCTCCATGACCTCAAAGACCAAGGTCACATCCCGGGAGGCAAAGTCTGAGACTACCAGCCGCCGCAGGTTCTGGACGGCCTGCGAGGCAAGTATCTCGTACTGGGGGCCATCCGGCAGTGACTTCATGAAGCCTGGCAGTGGGTAACTGACGTGGTCCTCCCGGCATAAGGTCAGGTGCTTGTTGGTCACCACCAGGGTACGTTGGGAGCGCTCACAGTCCTCCAAGGGTTCCTGGATGTTGATGGAATTACCCTGAAGAGGGGAGGCGTGCACCTGCTGGGTTGAAGACAGCATTTATGCATAGTTAATACCACAAATCAGCACTACAAGAGTGCTGTAATGTCAGATACTACAACTCAACCCTAGAATGGGGGAACTAAAACATTAAAAAAATATACAGTTAGGTCTCTCTTAAATGGCGCCATTTCCTACAGACACGCATCAGCATTTTTTACTTCAATTTTCGTGACGGGCATTGGCTGTGCTATACTTTGAACACATGTGGATCAGCATGCACGTGAGTTTCAAACATTTTGCGCACTGCGCTCACAGGCACCTGTTTGCGTTATATACACAGTTGTAATTTTCCTACAAAAATGGCATCCAATGAAAGAGATACTTATTAAAAACATAAACATGTATAGGCTTGATAGGTAAGTCATGGCATAATTGCTTTCATCGAAAAAAGAGATTACATGTGCTTGAAGAACTATGCAAATTGACAAAACTGAAATGCACGGCATGAAGAACAGCCAGCTAAAACTGCTTCTAAAGCCCCAAGTCACCGCATGAAATCAGTTAGCAACAGAACAATGCTAATTAAACACACATGGCTCTTTACTTTCGGTGAAATTTGAGTGATGTGCTGAGCAAAAATATTAAGATTGTTAGATTTATTAAGATTTTTGATTAGATTTAAGATTTATCATACAAATTGTCTGAAAGTTAGTTACATCACACAAAAGACAAGATGTGAAGGTTGGCGCAGTGGAGACACCACTGACAAATGATTGCAAAAAATCTTGCAAACCATTTCTCTCTTTTGTCATAATGTGGTTCTGAAATCTGACGTTTGTGTGACTTTTAATTGTGACTTTTCACAGTTTTTGCTTCCCCCCCCAAGAAAAACGAAACCTCACCTGGTAGACAAGCATGTACAGCAGAATGCTGGTATTGTCCATGCTAATCTTGGGGTCGTTGATGTGGGCCACAATCAGGTACGTCAGGTCGTTGATAGTCTCGTCATTGGGGTAGGAGAACTTAACCGAGCTCGGGTGCAGGAACTCCTCAGTGAAGGCCCGGTGGAGCTTGTACGGGTCCGTGGCCTGGTGGCTACGGTCGGGGGACTTGCACTTGTTGCTAGTGATTGGAAGAACCTACAGGGGCACACCATTACAAAAGGAAGGAGTGGAATGAAGCCACACGGAATTTATTTGCTAGTTCAAAAATGAATGAAAACATTCCCTAAAATTTTTGACAGCAAAAATTATAACAAAGGGGAAAACACTACTCTTAAATGTGAATGACCTCCTTTTTTGTGTTGTACTTTGCACTCATATTTTGAGTGTATATTTAACTAGATGATAGCCTGTACGCAACGTCCAATATGGAGATTCCACATCTGAAATGTTAACAGTACCGAGGATATCTCATAGGCATACATAGGACTGTAAATCGTTGATGTACCTGGAGTTCTATGCATTGCTGCTCTGGATGGTACAGCGTCGTGGGAAAGATTATCACTGCTTGGTAATTTCAACTCAGTTGTTGGGACCTTTGAGTGGCCCACTAAATGTCCCCCTCCCCCTATGTGCATGGAAGGTACATGTATGTTCATGAGTTGATGTTCAAATAACATGAGTAGCGATTTCCACTGCAGGGACTGTGAGTGGAATATAAAAGAAATACCTGAATTTGCAAGCGCAAAGTGCCTAGGATATATGGCATGGGGTCCAGGGCCTGCTTAACCACTTCCTGCCATTATCAATGTTGATGATGCTGGGCCGGGATATTTATCATTTTTTTTCTGTTTTCAAAATTCTTTCAAAACTCCTATCTTCATATATTGGACACTTACAAACACGTGAAGGACTGTCTGGTCTCCACTCTAGCCTGACAGACAAAATCTATTGTGACAACACCAATTTTCCCTTAAAATATTGAAAACATGTCCTAAAAGAGAAAAATAGCTGAGAAAATTCCAAAGCATTTACTTACAAACAGGTTTTTTCAAGTCTCATAGGTTTGTGTACAGAGGCATGCAGTGATGACCGTATACTCTTTCCAAAGGAACTAGTAACAGGTGTATCAAAATCGTAAATATCGAGATTTGTAGAGAGAGTTCGCCCTTTTCCTACCTGATCTGAGCATGTTTTCAAAATTTCAGTTCATGAAATAATGCACGCTGCTCACGTACATTGCACATCCAGACTTTTTAATTTTCCAGGCGCGGACCATATAGCCTGCCCAACGGTGTATTCCATTCATGTCCATTTCCGCAGATTTATAACTTGAGGATCGGTCTTATCAAAGGCTGTATCCAAGTCAGAACCTCTTTGGATAATTGTACATATGTGTTGCACTGATATTTTGATGAGTTAATGTCTAAAAATTGTTTGAGAGACCGTAAGATACGATGCAAAACCACTAGAACATGCATAACACAAGAAGAATTTTGTGAGCCCCGCACCAGTTGTCATGAAGCCCTCTATCAGCGAAAGTGAAAATTTACTATCCTTACTTCAAGCAGCAAATTTACAATGAATTGATGCTACTACGAGTTACAGTGGAGCTTGTAAGTCATTACTTTCGCTCACACAGGAACAGCTGCAACGAGTCCCACTGACACATTTATGAATATTGATATTTCATTGGCAGTCAATCACAGCAAAATGACCGGATGGCCCCAAAATGCTGTTTACACATGAGGCTTGCCCTGCACCTGATACATGCCCGCACACAGATTGCTATACACCGTATGCACGTACAGGGCATGCACATGCATGTACAGTGTACATGGGCAGTAGATTCAGTCACGAGCATTATATGGCACTCCGGTACTGTTCGGTGTCGGAAAGAGGACCTACAAAGTTTAGCCTGGCTATTGTGTCAACAGAAAAAAGAAAAAAAAAGAAAGAAAAAAAAATCGGCACTTGCAAAAGAAAGAAAAATGAGGATATCTGGCCTGTTGTTAGAAAAAAGTGGAAAAATTGATAAGTGGAGATTTCACACCACTACCACTGGCATTAAACTATACGCTTCACTTTGGCATGAATGTTAATAACAAAAAGATGAACCCCAGATCAAAGCTCACCTGCATGAGCCACTCTAAGAAGCTGAGGGTATGCTGGAAGTTTCTGGTCAACAAGGAGATAGTGTCTATTGCTGTCTCAGCGGTCAGTCGCAGCTTCTGGTCAAACAACCCCACGTCCACCTCAACAATGTCTGTCAGATTGAGCATGTGCAGACAGCGGACTCTCTTCCTGTCTTTGTCCTCGGAGGTGGTCAAGAGCACACCACTGGCGTGTGGGTGCTTGAGGACGCGCCCACCATTGAAGCCTGCGGTGTTGGGCAGCTCTCCCCCCTTGGAATCGGCCCGGAGCCTGTCTTTGACGGAAGAGTCACTCTTCATACGCCTGTGGCTTCGGGGGTCCACAGGTGGACTGAGGATCTGTGGTGGGGACGTATCGGCTGTGAGAACGTAGACGGCACGGTCGCTCAACATCACGCAGGCAGTGATCTCCACAGAGGGCTTCTGGAAGGCAATGGCCCCAGCCCACATCATGTGGGTCAGTCTCTCCGGCTCCGAGCTTATCTCAGCGATGCTGTCATGGAAGTACTTGACCAGTTCTGAGGCCTGCATGTTGGTGATGGCCTGCAGGGGTTCTGATAGCTGAAGCCCAACCTGCTGGTTGCACTCAGTCAGGTGCTTCAGAGTGGCATCCTCGTAAGTGGGGATGATAAGGGGTGGAGCTAACTGCACATGTTTCTTGATGACAGGAGGACTTGGATGTTCTGATATTAAAATGGCTGGGGATGGCATAGAGTCTTCAGCTTTAACATCAAATGAGGGGCCTCCTCCTAGATCATTCTGGTCAATGTCAGTGTTCTCATCGTAGTTGACTTTCAACTGAGCCATTCCGTCGACTGTGGGCTCCATGGGCTCATCATGGGATGATAGAGCAGGCTGCTCTTTGAGTCCCAGAACCCTCAGCATGCAGGCAAAGACCTCAGCCGCGTCCTCCTGCCTGGGAAAGATGTGACTGGGTAGCTGGACCTTCCCCTGGGTCAGGCCCTGCAGGAGCTCCACAAACTCCTGCTGGCTCTCCGCCGACATGTGCCCCAGGAGGTAGCCCGTCACCAACGGCCAGGGGCCCTCCGGCTCGGCCAGGCCCTGTCTGCGGTGCCGGGGGCCGTAGGTGCTGAGCACTGGGCCCTGGAAGTAGATGCGGAGGTTGAAGACCAGCTCTGGGATGGACGCCATGCCCTCTGACCGGTGGCGGGCCAGCTCGTCAAAGATGCAGTGTAGAAGGGCCTTGGGGCTGATCTTCATGGTGGGAGACTGGGGTGACTGTTGAACCTTCGGCTGAGCTGGGGATCTGGTACAGAAATATAAAAATTGACAAAACTAAGAAAACAAGAGTAACCCCAAATCTGTCATCTGTTGCAAATGGTATCAGCTGAAAAAGCTGTAAGAGTACTTCTCTTTTTTCACTGTTTCGCTCATGAATACCGAAATTGGTATCGGCACGAAAAGCACCTGAAAGAATGACAGCATAAAACTGAAGGTGGCAATTTAAGTACACAGAGGTGTGCTTCAAGGGGCCCCACTGAAAGATTTTGATTGCATTGGCCCGTTAAAAAGGTTTCCGGTTTAAGTTTTCCATACTTGCTCCTGGACCTCGCGCCTTCTTGGTAGTCCTTTCGCCTGACTTTGGGGGACCTCCCTCTCTTTGGAGAAATGCCTCCCTTGGCCTTTGTGGTTTGGGGGCTGCTGTCCGGCTCTTCTTGCATCTCGTTGAGGAGGCTGAGCCAGGCCTCACCTCCCTCCCGTCTGATCTCCTCCACCTTGGCTCTGTACTCCACATCATCCAAGCCAGAGGCTGAAAGAGGGGAGGGGAGAGAAGAAATGTGAGGGAATGAACTTCAGAACTGGTTTAGCAAACTTGTATAAAAGTACATGCAAATAATATGTTTGTGATGCTGTAACAAATAGCAGTACTGCAAATTCTTGAAGCTTAGCCACTTGAAGATAGTATTACTCCACAACATTTTGTCTGAGGCATAGCTTTATTTTTGGCAAAAACACCACACCTTTTCAAATATCAACACACCTACATGTAGTTAGAGCCTCGGAGTTGACATAAATTTAGTGGAAATTACTGAAGCATGGGGCCGCATACAAATGGCTCCCAACACATTAAAACATCCTCCCTGTTACAAGACAGGAAATCCCTGTGTTTCTACACGTCATCCAGCATAAGGTAGTTACAATGTTAGGCGTATTTTCCTCTTTTGCCTGTTTTCAACTGGTTTATGTCATCATTTTCAAGACAAACGTTTTCACAAGGATGGGCAAAATTGTTTTTCATTTATGCTCATTAAAAATGCTGATTCTGCCACTGAAATGTGTGGCTTAAAAAAAAAAAGATTTGCTCAAATTGTCATCTGAGATGGAAGAGAAAGAAGCACTAAACAGCAAATTGAGAGTTGGCCATAATGACTTATGGTTTTGGCTCCACACAACTGACTGTAGGGCCACTTACGCCAGCCATTTCTAGAAAAAATGCACACTTGTAATCACTGGCAAAGTTACATTGAACAGCTGATTCCAAAATGACACAGCTGGGCATTGAGCATAAAAATTAAAGGGACACCTTAACCACTTCCTGCCGGGGACTCCGGAATCGGAGACGTATATGCATGGCCAGGGTCTCCGAACTCGGACAAAGGAAACAGGGCCCTGTAACAAAAGACCGTACTCTGAACAAAAGACCAGGCTGCTGGGCATTACGGACATTTTT